GTGCCGCCGTTCGACGGGACCTCTTCCTGGTCGGCCTACAAAATCCAGTTCGAGGCCGTCATGGAGGCGAACGGCTGGAATAAAAGCCAAGCCATGACTGCACTCACCCTAGGCCTGCGCGACCAAGCCTTAACTGTGTTGGAAGCTCTCGGTAAGAAAGTGACCTATGAGCAGCTTCTTGAGGCCTTGGAAGCGAGATATGGCGACGCTCATCTGGAACACGTCTTTCGCGCGCAGCTTAAAGATCGCGTGCAGCGCAGCAACGAGAACCTGCAGCAGTGGGCCCTTTAGGTGGAGAAGATGGTTCGAAAAGCATACCAGTCTGTACCTGCGCTCATTGAAGGGAACCTGGTTCAGACATTCATCGACGGCATCCGCGACCTTGAAGTCAGAGCTGTTGTGAGATTCGGGCACCACGACACGCTTAAGAACGCCTTGGCCCATGCACTGGAGGTGGAAGCCGTGCGGCAGGATCATCGTTCCCATCGCATCAGGGAGGTTGCAGCAGCTACAGTTCGCGACCGCAACAGAGGATACAGCCCTAGGTGCTATGGCTGTGGGGAAAAGGGCCATCTTCGATCCAGCTGCCCTAAGCGAACCCTAGAAAGGGAAGGTGAACGATCTCAGGAGGGTAGTGCGGCCAACAGCACCGCCCAGCAGCAGCAGGGAAACGAGTAAAAGCCAGAACTGCGGGGCGGGTGCTGGCTGATGTTAAAAGAGCCCCAAGGATCTCGATCTCACAAACCCATGATGGGAACAGTCTAATCATCAAGGGCGAGGTCAACGGAATGCCGTGTAAGCTGACCATAGACATTGGAGCCTCTCGTACGGTTGTTAGTTCCCAACTTATAAGTCAGTTCCTTGGGGACTCCGCATACAACCGAGAACGCATTAATTTGGTAACAGCCACCGGTCAGCGTATACCCGTCCGTGGAGAGAAGGAGATGGAGTTGAAGCTAGGCAACGTGATCTACCTGCATAATGTCATCGTGGCTGATATAATGGACGACTGCATCCTAGGCCTAGACTTTATGAGAAATAATTGTTGTGAGATCGACGTTAAGCAAGGTGTTTTGAAATGTGGACAGGAGGAACTTTTTTATGGAAGGTGCGTTACCAGGGAACGTGTACAGCTTTAAGAAGATTGTTCTTCCGCCGAGATCGGAAATGATTGTTCCGGTTAGTCTTCCTCGAAACGCTGGGCAAGCTCACCTTTGTGTACTTGTGGAAAGGGTAAACAATGACCTTCCATGGAAAGTAGCTCGAACCTTGGTCAGGTCCACTAACATCACAGGAGTACGTGTGCTGAACCTTTGCGACCGGGAACAGATTATAGAAAAAGGCACACTGATTGGTACTTGTGAGGAAGTGGATTGGTTACGTCGGTGCCAATATATATCGAGTGGGACCCCCAGCAAGGATGCAGAAACGAGAGTGACCACACTTTTGGAAGACTATCGCAGTGTTCTCTCCCCGAACGAATTGGTCAAGGCGAAGAAGTTGTTACTCAAGTACGCCGATGTATTCTCATCAAACGATGCTGACATAGGAAAGACTGGCTTAGTTCAACACAAAATAAACACAGGAGAAGAATTGCCTAACCGTCAGCGGCCAAGAAGATTGCCGGCAGCACGTGAAAAGGAAGTGGAAACCATGATTGAAGGAATGGTGAAGGAAGGTGAAGTAAGGTGTTATTGAACCTTCCTCTAGTCCATGGAGTTCACCAGTGGTGTTGGTGAAGAAGAAGGATGGCAGCATGCGGTTTTGTGTTGACTACCGCTGTCTGAACGACGTTACGAAGAAGGACAGCTATCCCTTGCCAAGAATTGATGACACGCTGGACATGCTTACAGGAGTAAAGTGGTTTAGCACACTGGATCTAAAAAAGTGGCTACTGGCAAGTTGAAATTGACCCTAAGGACAAGGAGAAAACTGCATTCTCGACGGGAAAGGGTCTGTGGCAATTTAAAGTAATGCCGTTTGGGTTGTGCAATGCTCCAGCAACGTTTGAAAGGCTGATGGAACTTGTACTTACCGGGCTAATTGGCGATGCCTGTCTGGTCTACTTGGATGACATCATCATCGTAGGCCGTACGTTTGAGGAACACCTTCAAAACCCGGAACGCGTGCTCATGAAGATTCAGAGTGCCAACCTCAAGTTGAGCCCGAAGAAATGTTCACTATTCCAACGGCAAGTTAACTTTTTGGGGTTTGTAGTATCGTAAGAAGGTATCCGCACAGATCCAGAGAAAACCGCCGCTGTCAAGGATTGGCCGGTTCCAAAAGACAAGACGCAGGTTAGAGCATTTTTGGGTTTGTGCTCCTATTACCGGCGATTTGTGAAGAACTTTGCGGATATAGCCAAACCTCTGCACAAGCTAACCGAGGAGAAGCGACATTTCTGCTGGGATGAAAGTTGCAATATCGCATTCCAGGACCTCAAGGACCGTCTGTGCAAAACACCTATTTTGGGATACCCTGATGCAAGCAAAGAATTTATAGTTGACACAGACGCAAGTGATATAGGACTTGGCGGTGTGTTGTCTCAACGGAATGGTGACCAAGAGGTCGTGATAGCGTACATCAGCAAGTCGTTGTCAAAACCGGAAAGGAACTATTGTGTCACAAGACGCGAATTGCTAGCTGTGGTAAAGTCGTTGCAGCATTTTAGCAAATATCTTCTGGGGTGAAAATTTCACTTACGAACTGACCATGCTGCACTAAAATGGCTATTGCAGTTTAAAAATCCAGAAGGACAAGTTGCGAGGTGGATTGAACTACTGCAGGAATACGACTTTGAGATCGAACATCGCAATGGGAAATCTCATGGCAACGCAGATGCATTGTCAAGAAGACCTTGTCCTGAAGATTGCAAACATTGTACTAGGCAAGAGAGTAAGGAAGTGGTATCCGTGAGGATGCTCAGGGCAGACCACCTCAGCAACGAGTGGAAGGACAGCTTACAACGTGCACAGCAGGAAGATCCGGACATCAAGCCGATCCTGGAATGGATGAAGGCCAGTGCTCCCAAGCCCAAGTGGAGCGACGTCTCAGCGATGAGTTCGACCACTAAAAGCTATTGGGCCCAGTGGGACAGCTTGCTGCTTCAGGATGGAGTTCTGTGCCGTAAATGGGAAAATGTTCGGGGAGACAGCTGTCATTTACAAATGGTTGTCCCTAAAGCTAAAGTACCGGATGTTCTACAGCTGTACCATGATGATTATTCAGGAGGCCATCTGGGAGTTAAACGAACTCTACTGAAGATCCGAGAACGGTTTTACTGGGTCCACTGTCGAAACGATGTCGAGGACTGGTGTCGCAAATGTACAAGTTGTGCGGCTGTAAAGGGACCTCAGACTCTTAGTAGAGGTGCATTGAAGTTGTACAATGTTGGTACACCATGGGAGAGAATAGCCATTGACGTGGCGGGGCCGTTTCCGGAGAGTGAAAGCGGTAACAAGTATTTCATGGTTGTGATGGATTACTTCACTAAGTGGCCAGAAGTCTTCGCCATTCCAAATCAAGAAGCTTCAACAGTTGCTGATAAGCTAGTTCATGAAGTCTTCTATCGTTTTGGTGTACCTTTAGAGATTCACAGCGATCAAGGAAGGAATTTTGAGTCTCAAATATTCCAGGAAACTTGCCGAGTTATGGGTACTCATAAAACAAGAACAACTTCTTATCACCCGCAATCTGATGGAATGGTGGAACGATTTAATCAGACATTGGAGAGGTACCTAGCAAAAGTTGTAGACAATCGGCAACGAGATTGGGACAAGCACATACAACCGTTTTTGTTGTCATATCGAAGCGCTGTTCACGAAAGTACAGCAGTGACACCAGCTTTCGCAAACTTTGGAAGAGAATTACGGCTGCCTGCAGACCTGATCACCGGGATACCACCTGATACTCCACGCAGTATAACCGATTATGCAAATGACTTGCGGAACAAAATGAATGACGTTTATGAGCACGTCAGACAATCGGGCCAGCAAATGTCTGAAAAGATGAAAACCCGGTATGACCGCAAAATGAACAACAAAGGGTTCGACGAAGGTTCACTTGTGTGGTTGCACAATCCAGTCCGCAGCAAAGGGAAATCTCCTAAGCTTCAAGCTAAATGGGACGGCCCGTACCGGATTGTGACCAGGATCAACGATGTAACCTACCGGATACAGAAAGGCGCAAGAGGAACTCCTAAGATCGTCCATGTGGATCGCCTAGCGCGTTATTATGGGGCCGATAATGCTCGGGACGAGCATGTCTTAGGAGGGGGGCAGTGTTACGCCGCGCTCAAATCGGCGCACTAGCGCCATCTAGTCTCGAACCGAAGAACTAAACTTCTTGAAGTTTAAAACTCGAACTCTAGGTACCTTGCGCGTGTTTACTTGAACATTCTGGATATTTTGCTAATTTATATAACTAGGCGCTGCAAGATGCGATGGTAGCAGAGTTGAACTCGGCGACACAAGCGAAGCTTCGGAGCGGAATTAAGTGAATTAGTGTGTTTAATTATTAGTGTTTTTAGTTTTCATTTGTGTAAAGTAAATTAAAGTGTTAATTTAGGTAATTTTATCGGCAATTTTTATTGTCACGAACCACAAGCTCGTAACAATATCATTATTCAAGTGAAAAATTATTAGTGTAGAATGTGTACGACAAAACTGGAACTTGAATTACATAAAAACAGTAAGAAAACCAAAAGCATCAAGAACTATAACCTCAAAAGTGCTATGTAATCATAATAAATATCTCTGTTCCTAAATCATCGATCAAGGTATCTATCAGCGCCATCTATTATGATCCATCATAACTTTCTAGCCGGATCCTAGTTCGACGCGTACTCAGATATCTCGCAGCATTTAGGGTACCTCTTATTATGCTTAGAGAACTCGATCGCCACTAAGTCAAGAAGTACTTACCTGTTCATATAGAGGGCGCTAAGCGAACTAAGCGAATTATAACCAAATATGGATGAAATAAAAAATAATATGTTTAGCATGCAGCAAGATATAGCGCAGCAACAACAAGACATGCTAGAGGTGAAAGAAGATATTAAAGGTACAATAATTAACAGGTTCAACGAGAAGTTCAATAATTTAGAACTAAAAAAACTTTTGGAGAAAAAAAGCATAGAGAAATCAAATAAAATTAACAATCTAGACAGTGTAGACGTAAAAATCTAAACATTTTTGTTGTTGAAGAGACAGAAAAATCGTACGACAAACTGTAAAAAATCGTAATAAATATAATAAATACATACATAAAAATTGCATGCGACACTTACAACATAGAAGCTTAATGATCTCTTATATTTACGCGAACATTGCACATGATTAAAACTACTTTTACGGATTTTATCGCGTTTATTTTTACTTTTTATTTTTAATTCCCGACGTTTCGGGCGCTTTCCAGCACCCGAAACGTCGAAACCCCGTGACCATAGGTGCTGGAAAGCGCCCGAAACGTTGGGAATTAAAAATAAAAAGTAAAAATAAACGCGATAAAATCCGTAAAAGTAGTTTTAACATAGAAGCTGTTAGAAGGTTGGGGGATAAAGGGTAAAACAGTTTGACCGATAGTAATAACATTCAATACTTTAGGTTTCAAATTAACAATACAAAAAAAACATAAACTTGAAAACACTTCCTATTACCCAAAAGAAGACTACCCGATCGAAGTCCTAATTAAGGCCATACCCCTAGCGAACGACCTTGAGCGTTCGGTCCGCCGACTCTCGCTACAATATATCGCGTAAGAAATCTGCAAGACGCCACCTACTGGTACGAACGTAGTATTATTTTTTCAACGTCAATGAACTATTTTACGGAAATAGACACGGCAGACAATGATAAATGTATTTTAATTTTCTTTATTCGGTATATTAGTTGCATTATATTTCAATTATGTATTCTCATATATTATCTAATTAATAAAAATAACTATTTTGATTATTTTTAACTATATACTATACTGCTAATATTGAATTAGCTTTTTATAGTGTAAACGTTAATTATGGATTCGAACTTTACATGCTAATGGTGCTTCATTTTTATTATTTTCATTTACTTACATTTTGAAAATATACTTGAATAGTAGGTATTATTATTTTATTTAGCTACAGAACTTTAGGATATGTTTTACCTTGAGGTCAAATATAATTTTGAGGAGCAACAGTTATTACTAATCTTTTATCTGCTATTCCTTATTTAGGAACAATATTAGTAAATTGAGTTTAAGGGAGATTTACTGTTTATAATGCTACATTTCATCATCATCATCATTACAGCCCTTCACTGCTGAACATAGGCCTCCCCCAAGTAATGCCACAAAGCACGGTCCTGAACCACCTGCATCCATAGACTTCCTGCGTGTCTTACCAGGTCGTCACTCCATCTAGTGGGGGGTCGCCCTACACTACGCCTACCAATACTAGGCTGCCAATCGAGAACCTTTCTTCCCCATCGGTTATCGGTTCTTCGAGCTATGGTATATGGCCGGCCCATTGCCACTTCGGCTTACTAATCCGTACATGTAATATAATGCTACATTTATTATTTTAATATTTACCTACTGGGTAGGTATTAGTAACTAAACAGATATTTATTACCCAATTAAAATAACTAATGAAGTATTGTGATTATTTGTGATTAGTAATACTGGGTGGGTATTAATAAATAGAACAAAATAGCATATAAAAAGTCAATTTTATTATCTTGAATGTAACAAATTGATTACAAATTTTTTAACTTCCCTAAATTATAAACAAACAGCTGCAGCTATTAAATGAACATATGCGCATACATACGCCCATTATATTATAATCATTACTAATATTCCCTTTAACCACTCGTGGTAAGCTTAAATTGCTTGTGTTACGAGTGGTTCACGCCAGTAGTCGAATGGTGAGTTTGTTTTTTGAGCGGTCCGGACCCTGCCATTAGGCTACTGTCGCCTTTATATAAGTGGTTATATATATATATATATATATATATATATATATATATATATATATATATATATGTGTCCGGATGACCGAGCTTTGCTCGGTTTTTTTTTTTATTACATTTAGATACAAATTACATTAATATTTTTTGGTCTTATTGACATAATAGAAAAAACTGAACTGGTTATTTGAATAAAAAATCATGAGTGCAATTAGTTTAATTAAAATTTTCGTATGTTTTAAAAAAAACTAAAAAAGGGTTTGAAATAATAAATTTTCTCACAAAAAAAGGGAACTAGAAAAAAAAAGGGAAAAAAGTCGAACCGAAGACGGGACGCGAACCGAGGCATTACAATTACACGACCGCTCGATATCCACTTGAGCTATTACGATCATTAACATAGTGTCAAAATTTATCTTCTTATATTGCAGCAGTTTTTCATTGCCTGAAAACACGGACAAAGACATTTTCTAAAAATAAATTCTAGTTATATCGATATGTTACCCCCCGAAACTCCCTGGACACTAAATTTTATTAAAATCTTTGGAGCCGTTTCCGAGATCGAGATGATATATATATATATATATATATATATATATATATATATATATATATATAATATCAAGTGGCCGCATAGTCATAGCCGCGCGCGCATGTTTCTTGATATTTATTGCATAAAGTGGTAAAAATGTCCAAATTCAACGTGGAAGTGGCATTTAATGAATTGTCTAAGAAAATAGAAGAGTTGACATCAAAAATTACTGCACAATCCGCGTTAATTGAGACGTAAAGTAAGAAAATAGATGATCAAAAACAGCTGATCGAAAGTAATATTATTGTAATTAATGACCAGAAGCGGGTAATTGAAAAATTGTCTGCTAAAATTGAACAAAGGCAATGCTGATAATAGGTGCGAGGCAGTTATCACTACCGTACCAATGACTCAAAGTGGGAAGGAGATAACAACAGGTACGGAAATTCCAGCATTATCTGAGCGTGAACGTCGCGCAACAGAACGTTCTAAGGCTAAGGGTGCGACTACATTGCAGAAGCGAGAGCGTTTAAGTACGTCTACTGACTGTCTTAAAACAAAGACAGATATCAATCAACTTTCAAATGCAGAATCAGGCGAGTGGAAAACAGTTGTTAATCAAAAAAAAGTGAGGAAAACTCAGCCTAAGCTACGCTAACTAAAGAGATTACGCGTCTTTTATGATAGGTGTTCCCGAATCGCAATTTGAGAAAGTTGATTGTACTGATTGCTGGCCAATAAATACTCAGTACAATGAATGGGTGTGGTTTCGAAACACCCAAAAAGCAACGGCAAGTCGGGAACAGCACTAATAAACCCGTTCTCCTATATTATCAGAATGTACGGGGACTGAGAACAAAAACAGCAGATTTTATACCAGTCTTTTGGGTTCTTCGTGCGACCTGTTTGCTATTACAGAGACAGGTCTCAATAGTTCAATACATAATGGCGAACTTTTTCCGCCAAACTACACAATACTGCGATGTGATCGAGTGGATGGACGCAAACAAGGAGGCGTCCTCTTAGCTGCATCTTCCAGATTGAATTTGAAACGCGTTTCGGTAGCTAATGTGGACGCAACCTTATTTGAGATTGTTTGTGCGACGGTGTACCGTAGTGAAAAATGTTTATTCTTTTGTTGTGTTGTTTACATACCGCCAAAATGCGATGTTAAAGAATATATGTATTTATTTAATCTTATAGAAAAGGAGTGTACTAAATATGATAAAGTGTTAGTGATCGGCGATTTTAACATGCCTTCTTCGACTTTAGAAATACAAAATTATTTTGGGTATGTAGCAGCATATTGTGGATTTCGTCAAGTAAATTAAGTGCTTAATGTAAACAATCGCATGCTGGACTTGGTATTAACAACCTTGCCGGTAAGTGACGTGGAAGTATCACTGTCAGGTGAGTCTTTAGTTAATATTGATGAACCACCACCCACCACACACCCACCTCTGACCGTAAAAATCACGGCAGCGGACACGAGGAGGGGGCGAACCCCCATTAGTATAACTGGTAATAATATTAATAATAATAATATAATAATTGAATTAAACTATATATAAGACACTGACATCCATTTTGAGCGCGAGAATCACTCGTCACCTGGAGCTAAATAAGGTGATGTCACGCGCTCAAAATGGATGTCGGGGCGGTGGTCGTGGAACCAAGGAACCACTCCTCATTGACGCGGTCATTGGCAAAGTGGTAAAACGCAACCGTCGGAACTTCTCCGCCGCCTGGATAGACTACAGAAAAGCATTCGACTCGGTGCCCCATGCATGGCTAAAGAGGGTCCTCGAGCTGTACAAGATTGACTGTACAGTTAGAGACTTCCTCGAGCAGTGTATGGGGCAGTGGAGTACGATCCTCTGTTATCAGGGCGAGCGGATGATGGCTGCGGAGAACCACATAAGGATAAGAAGGGGTATCTTCCAGGGCGATTGTCTGAGTCCAATCTGGTTCTGCCTCTCTCTGAACCCTCTCAGTACCTTACTGGAGGGCTCCGGGAGAGGATTTCAGCTACGGAAAGGAGGAACAAAAGTGACCCACCTTTTCTATATGGATGACCTCAAGTTATTCGCCTCCAGTCGCTCCCATCTTATGGAATTGCTAAACATCACTTGTGAATTTAGCAATTCCATTGGAATGGAGCTGGGGACGGATAAGTGTGCGGTCCTTCATGTTGAAAGGGGAAGGGTTGCTAACTCTGAGGGCATAGATTTATCTATGCCCGTCAACTTAAAGACCCTTTCCGAGGCTGAAACATACCGATACCTGGGTATGTCACAGAACATCGGTATCGATGAGGCTGGTGTGAAACAGTCAGTTTGCGACGTGTTTTATGCACGCTTGACCAAAGTGCTTAACAGCCTTTTGTCCGGTGTGAATAAGACACACGCATATAACGGTTGGGTCATGCCTGTCCTCATATATACCTTTGGCATACTCAGGTGGACTCAGACCGAACTTAACGCCCTGGATAGAAAAGTCCGCACTACCATGACGTCCCATAGGATGCATCATCCGAGATCGTCGGTAATGAGGCTGTACTTGCCGCGAAAGCATGGTGGGCGTGGTTTTATGAGCGCGCTCACCATGCATAATCGCGAAGTGTGCAGCCTCCGTGATTACTTCCTGGCGAGATCGGATGATCCATTCTATAATGACGTCATTTCTAGTGATAAAGGGCTTACCCCTCTATCCTTAGCCCACGAGCAATGGCAGGACCCAGCAGTGCTTAGCATTTCCGACCGGGAGACCGTATGGAAGGAGAAGGAGCTCCACGGGAGGTACTACAGGGCTCTTCATGAGCCCTTCGTAGATACAGTCGCCTCCCTCAACTGGCTACGTTTCGGTGACCTCTTCGGGGGAAACCGAGGGTTTTGTCTGTGCAATACAGGATCAGGTTATTAAGACCAACAACTATCGGAGATACATCCTAAAGGATGGCACCGTCGACGTCTGTCGAGCTTGTCGCCATCCCGGTGAATCACTTAGGCATGTTATCTCCGGTTGTTCGGCGCTTTCTAACTCTGAGTACTTGCACAGGCACAACCTAGTAGCCAGAATTCTACACCAGGAGCTCGCTCTGAAATATGGTCTCGTGGACCGGAAATTGCCGTATTACAAGTACTTGCCGGAAGCCGTGCTCGAAAATGACCGCGCCAGGCTCTACTGGGACCGGGCCATCATCACAGACAGGACTATTCTTGCGAATAAGCCTGATATTGTGCTGATGGACCGGGCACAGTCAAGGATATTTTTGGTCGACATTACCATTCCGTATGACGAGAACCTCGTGAAAGCCGAAACAGACAAGCAAACAAAATATCTGGACCTGGCTCACGAGGTGACCGACATGTGGGGTGGTCTGCCGACCGAAATTATTCCTGTAGTCGTCTCTGCAAACGGGCTAATCCCAGTCAGCCTCTCGGGTCATCTGAGGCGACTGGGACTACGTGGCGGACCGCTCCGGGCTCAAATTCAGAAGGCGGTGCTCCTCGATACCGCCCGCATCGTCCGCCGGTTTCTTTCCCTTTCCCCCCTAACCCTCGGCCGTTTGGTCTCCCCCTGCCGAGGGCCTCCATCTGGTTGGGCTTTTATTTATTTAAGTATTTTTATATTTATTTTATGTTATTGATATTTATGTATATTTATCTTTTCATTCTCATTTATAATTATATATTTATAGAACCCAACCAGATGAGAAAACTATATAGATACCCCACAATATAATAATTGAAAGCTCTGGTTGGAATTTTAGGAAATGTGACTTCTTCAAATTATATAAGTTATTAGGTTCAATTGACTGGAGTTCGTTATATCTGTTAGAAGATGCCAAATCCTCCTTGTATTATTTTTACGACATTATAAAGAATGAGTTTAGTAAATGTGTGCCTCGGAAGAAAGGTAAATTAAGTAATCATAATGCGAAGTATACTTACCCCGATTGGTATGCGGTTGATTTAATATTAGTTATAAGACTCAAATGTAAATACCATAAATTATTTAAAATAACGGGATCTCGGACGGATCATTCTCACGCTATCGTGCAGTGGTTAAAAATAAAATAAGATGGGCTTACGAGGCATATCGGTGTAGAGTACAAAATAATATAAAAGAGGATCCAAAATCTTTTTTGGGATTTCGTTAAGAGTAAACAGTCAAAACTTAATAGAACTCAAATTATTAAAGACGGCCAAGTGATTAGGGATGCAGACTGTGCAGAGTATTTTGCTTCATTTTTTCATTCAGTGTATAGTAAGGAGAGGCCCACTTTAGATCCGAGGGAAGCGAAGCGCACAGCCGTACAAGATTTAAGCTACGCGACGAGTTCAACTACTATTCATATCGGGCGAATAAACGTGCGAGATGTTCGAGGCGCCCTCACACGTCTTAAGCCCAAGAAGTCCGTGGGTCCGGATGGTATACCACCGTTCATTTTAAAAGACTGCCGTATGGTGTTTGAATTGCCTCTTTTACATATTTTTAACCTGTTTCTAAAAGAAGGTTACTACCCGGACGAATGAAAAGTGTCCCGAGTGATTCCTGTGTTGAAAGCAGGATCGGGTTCAAAGGTGGATGAATATAGACCGGTGGCCGTATTGTGTGCAATCGCTAAGGTATTTGAGTCGATTATTTATAAATATGTTTATAATCAAGTGAACTCGCAGCTTACTGAAGCTCAGCATGGTTTTCGGCCAGGTCGAAGTACTGGGAGTAATTTATTGTCCTTTATAAATTATGTGGTGCCAGTAGTGGATGCTGGGAGCCAGGTGGACACGGATTTCCGAAAAGCCTTCGATACCGTTGATAACGATATCTTGTTGGTAAAGCTTGCGGAGTTTGGTTTTACACCTAGTTTACTTGATTTCTTTGCGAATTATCTGAGCGGACGTCAACAATACGTAGATTTCGCAGGTTTTGAATCGCGGCCGTATTGTACTTATTCTGGTGTGAGTCAAGGGAGTAATCTTGACCCTTTATTATTTATGTTAATGGTTAATGATCTTCCTACGGTCGTTAAAGAGGCGCAGTGTTTGCTATTTGCCGATGATCTAAAAAATTTTTTGAAAGTTAACAATGCTTCTGACTGCCAAAGTCTGCAAAGGGACATTGACAGATTGGCACAGTGGGGAATGGAAAACAAATTGAATTTCAATGTTAATAAATGTTGTATCATGAGTTATGGTCGTGCAAAAGACCCTCAGAAGTATGCTTATGAAATGAACGGCCTCGTAATCCCGCGCGTTACATATATTAGAGACTTAGGCGTGGAGTTGGGCCCGGAACTTAATTTTCGTAAGCACATTTTAAATATTTGTAAAAAAGCTTTCGGGAGTCTCGGCTTTATATTAAGGCAGTGCAGGGATTTTCAGAATTTGTTAACTATTAAAATTTTATATAATGCTCTCGTGAAAAGTCAACTTGAAACGAACGCAAGTATTTGAAATCCACATGACAGCAAGTATAGTGTCATCGGTCATCGTCAGTACGGAATCTATCCTTGTTTTTCACTGATGTATCCGAGTCTGTTTGTACTGGGGATGGTTGGTTACAGCCGCTTAAGTGTGAGAAGAGACATCACGCTTATTAAATATGTGTGGAAAGTATTACGTGGATGGATATATCACTCAGATGTGCTCGCTG